TCGGAGTCGTACTACATCTGGGTTGAGAACTCGGAGACGTCTGAGATCTATCATCATGAGTTCTTCATCCTTAGTAGGAGGAGGTTGCATGATGATCATGAGCTCAACTTTACGATTCCGCTGAGCGATCCGCTGCCGAATCAGATTTACGTCAGGGCGGTGTCTGACCGATGGCTTGGTGCTGAGACGGTCACTGCTGTTTCTTTCCAGCATCTCATCAGGCCGGACACCGAGAGCGTGTACACGGATCTCCTGAACCTTCAGCCTCTGCCTGTTTCGGCTCTCAAGAACCCGGCCCTGGAGGAGCTGTACGCCCAGCGCTTCCGGTACTTCAACCCCATGCAGACGCAGTTGTTCCACACGCTGTACCACCGACCAGTCAACGTTCTGCTGGGTTCGCCAACAGGCAGCGGCAAGACTGTGGCTGCCGAACTGGCCATGTGGTGGGCTTTCCGGGAGCATCCTGGGTCAAAGGTGGTTTACATCGCTCCCATGAAGGCCCTCGTCCGCGAGCGTGTCAAGGACTGGGGCGACCGCCTTGCCAAACCATTGGGGCTGAGGCTGGTAGAGTTGACGGGTGACAATACTCCCGACACCCGGACCATTCAAGACGCTGATATCATCATCACCACTCCCGAGAAGTGGGATGGCATCTCGCGTAGTTGGCAGACGAGAGGATACGTCCGCAAGGTTAGTCTGGTCGTTATTGACGAGATTCATCTGCTGGCTGGTGACCGTGGTCCTATTTTGGAGATTATCGTGTCGCGCATGAACTACATCGCTGCGTCGACAAAGAATGCCGTCAGGCTGTTGGGCATGTCGACTGCTTGCGCCAATGCGACTGACTTGGGGAACTGGCTAGGTGTGAAAGGGGAGGAGGGGCTGTTCAACTTTAGGCACTCGGTTCGTCCAGTGCCGCTGGAGTTGTATATCGATGGGTTCCCAGAGGTTAGAGGCTTCTGTCCGCTGATGCAGTCTATGAACCGGCCTACTTTCCTGGCTATCTTGAATCATAGTCCGGAGAAGCCCGTTATCGTCTTTGTGCCGTCCCGTCGGCAGACGAGGTTGACGGCCAAGGATCTGATCAATCTGTGCGGTATGGAGGATAACCCGAGACGGTTCTTGAGCATGGACGAAGATGACTTGCAGGGTATCTTGTCTCGGGTCAAGGACGAGGCTCTCAAGGAGGCCATCAGCTTTGGAATTGGTCTGCATCATGCCGGTCTGGTCGAGGGTGACAGGCAGATCGCCGAGGAGCTGTTCCTCAACAACAAGATCCAGATCTTGATCGCGACGAGCACGCTGGCTTGGGGTGTCAACTTGCCAGCTCACTTGGTCGTGGTCAAGGGAACGCAGTTCTACGACGCCAAGATTGAGGCGTACAAGGACATGGACTTGACGGATGTGCTGCAGATGTTGGGTCGTGCTGGTCGCCCGCAGTTCGACAGCTCTGGTGTTGCTCGCATCTTTACGCAAGACTCCAAGAAGGACTTTTACAAGCACTTCTTGCACACCGGCTTCCCGGTTGAGTCGTCGCTGCACACGGTGCTGGACAACCATTTGTGTGCTGAGATTTGCGCCGAGACGATCATCACCAAGCAGGATGCGTTGGACTACCTGACGTGGACGTTTTTCTTCAGACGCTTGCACAAGAATCCGTCGTATTATGGGCTGGAGATCTCTGCCGAGGAGCACAACACCACTACGGCTCAGCAGCTGGCCAACGAGTTTATGATCTCCATGGTGGACTCTTCGCTCCATGAGCTGACAGTGTCAAAGTGCGTGGAGGTTTACCCCAACGGGGATGTCGACCCTACACCCCTAGGCAAGATCATGTCCTACTACTACCTCTCCCACAAAACCATCCGCCAGCTCGTCAAGAAAGCCAAACCCCAAGCCGCCTTCATCGACGTCCTGTCATGGATGTCCATCGCGACCGAATACGACGAACTCCCCGTCCGGCACAACGAAGACCTCATCAACGCCGAGCTATCCAAGAACCTCCCCTTCCCAGGGACAGCCTTCGGTCTGCCCATGTGGGATCCCCATGTCAAGGCTTTTTTGCTGTTGCAAGCTCACATGTCGGGGATTACGCTGCCGATTACCGATTACGTCGGTGATCAGACTTCGGTATTGGATCAGTCAGTTCGTATCATCCAAGCCGGCATCGACGTCATGGCCGAACTGGGTTATCTCTCCTCTCTCAAATCGTTTGCTTCCCTCCTCCAGGCAGTAAAGGGTGGCATCTGGCCTGACGAGGACCCCGTCTCCTTGCTGCCGGGAGTCTCCCTCCCTGCAAACAACAAGCGCAAACCCACGCTGTTGCGGGACATCGCGAGGATGTCCCGCAACCAGAACCAACTCGATCGTCTTGCTCGCGAGCTTCACGTCCCGAGTTCTGCAATCGCCAAGTTCAAAAAAGCCGCGGCTTGCCTGCCTGATGTGAATGTCAGTGTCGACGATGTGAGAAACACGTCTTTGACCGTCACCTTGAGGCGTCAGAACCCCATCACGGAAAGGGAGGGGAGGATCTACGCGCCAAAGTATCCCAAGCCACAGACAGAGGGGTATTTTGTTATTGTTGGGGATTTGGCCACGGACGAGGTGGTGGCTGTCAAGAGGGTGGGTTGGAGTGGACGGCAGGCTAGAGACAAAAATGGGAAGAGAAACCCCGTTGAGATTGGGGACAGGCCGACGGCGAGAGCGGTGATCAAGTTGCCTGATTGGGAGGACAAGAGGAGGTATGATGTTTTGGTGGTGAGTGATGGGTATGTGGGTGTGGAGTGGGGGGTTAAGGCTGATGTGCCGGGGAAGCCGGTGGTGGATGTCGATGTCGGGGGGAAGGAGAAAGGGAAGATGCCTCAGGGGCAGGAAGGGGAGATGAGTTGAGTTAAGACATGAAAATAAGAGATGGGCTCCAGAGGTTCGAGAAGTTGTCCAAGTAAAAGGCTCACAAATACATGAATCGAATATAACCCACACACACCAATAAACAACACTGCGAGAATCTGCGTGAATAAAACCGGGGGAATAACTCCTAGAGAATGCAAC